TGGGGATGGCCCCTTCCTGTTCCAACATGATTTTGCACCAGTGCACAAAGCAAGGTCCATAAAGACATGGATGAGCGAGTTTGGGGTGGAGGAACTTGACTGGCCTGCACAGAGTCCTGACCTCAATCCGATAGAACACCTTTGGGAAAATTAGAGCGGAGACTGCCAGCCAGGCCTTCTCATCCAACATCAGTACCTGACCTCACAAATGCGCTTCTGGAAGAATGGTCAAACATTCCCATAGACACACTCCTAAACCTTGTGGACAGCCTTTCCAGAAGAGTTGAAGCTGTTATAGCAGCAAAGGGTGAGCCAACTCAATATTGAACCCTACGGACTAAGACTGGGATGCTATTAAAGTTCATGGCATCATGGTTCAAGGCAGGTGCCCCAATACTTTTGTCAATATAGTGTATATTGACACCACCTCTAAACCATAGAATCTATTTTTTATGAATCTGTTCTGTTGTTTCTGCATTTACAGTGATTGCACAAACAAACCTCAGACAGAGTTATTCACCACATATAAAATGTCATACTTTAACAGGAGATTATTTTTAGGAAACACAGCTTTCTCCATTCTCAAAGAACCTCAGATTACCCCAACTGATTACCTGCTGGAGGAAATAAATCTTATTTAGTTCCGATTTAGAAAATCAGTCCCTGTGTATCAAGAACCAAACACAAGTCTTCCCAAACAAAAATCTATCAATAACACTACTTGGTATTTCCTATGGTTCCTTCCATTAGCCTAAGATATTAATGCCCTATTATATCAACTGTACCAAGCATGGGAGAAACAAAAACTAGAGGAACTCTGTATATTAATGTAACTCTATTATGGATACAAAATGCAACAACTAAACAGCCAAATGCTTTTTATTACACAGTGACTAACATTAAAACAAATATGACATGTATGTACCATGTTTCACAGAACAGATCTTTGAAAATAATCATACTTGACATTATACACAAAAAAAAAACTTCTTTTGTTTTTGCTGTTAAAAATTACTGCGTGAGGAGTGCAATAAATTAGTTTTAAAAAACAATAAAACCAGCAAACATTATATTTTTTTCTTAAAATAGCAGTTTCTTTTTTTTTCCCAAATAAATCATAAACATTATAAAACACAAGCCTATAATCCATTTAATAATAGAAATGTACACCAACAACAATATAACATTTTAGTTTTATTGACTTTATATACATTTGTTATTGTCAGAAATTCTATGTATCAACCAGATCTTCCTAGGCAACTGTGCTGGACGCAAAAACAAAAGTAACAACACTAAAATAATGGTCTTTATGTAAACTCTCCAGCTCCAATTGGCTTATTTCATAATATAGGTCAAAGGAAATTTATCATTTGTAAACTGCAGTAAAATATAGCAGCCAATCAGATTTCAGTTTGCTCTACTCGTCAAAATATGATCCTAAAGTGAACCTGTGATATCACCTTACCTTCTAAGGTGATTTCATATCCATAAAGAAGGACCTCAAGGTGCATGGCTGTTGGTTCAGTCTTTCTTTAAAGTGCCTGGAATTCCCTAACCCTAGTACTCTATTAGACAGTAATTAGCCACACAGCTTCTGGGCCCACCTCCTCATATCTTCCTACGAGTTACTACATTGGATTGGCCTCACTGGCCAACAGGAAGGAGCACAGGAAAGAAGAAGGTGCGCCAACTACTGATCAGGAATCTTTGTGGTCATTAATAGATTAGCAAAGCACCTAGGTTTTTAGGGATCCCAGGCACTGTAAAGATAAGCTAAGCTAGCAAGTGCGTACCTGGGGGTGCCTGCACATTGAGGTAAGCCCTCTGTTTTTAAATATGCTGCAATGGGGCACTGCAGTTTGCACACTGCTTTTTGTCTTATTAAAAGAAACCTCTGCGTTTGGTTGTCAAACTAAAAATGTTCAGATAGGGCATTGAAACAATTCTGTATTGGCAGGGGTTGACAGGTTTTCATTGAGTGTTTTTTTTTTTTTTTTTTTTAAAAGTCAAGGTGGCCAGCCATACTTCACACCAACTGAGACAGTATATTGACTGTTGGCAACTAGATCACTTATGTAATAAATCTACAGCACAGGCCTCAGCTGTTGGTGTAAAGCAGAACTGAATAGTACTGAAAGTTAAAGCAGAAGTTAAAGCTTTAAATCAAGTACCAGTTCTGCTGTCATTATCTGTAAAATTATGTTTTACATTTTTACACGGCTGTGGAAGAAGGCACTACATTTGGATTTTTTTAAACAAATGTGTGAACTGATTTATTTTTTTTTAAATGAAGAAAAAAAAAATTGAGGTGTTACCTTATGTTCTGTTTACATAATGCAAGCTTGAAAAAAAGTTAACATGACTTCATAGCTCCCAGCAGACCAAATAAAAATCTGGGACATTAAATTGAGTTATCATGATAATAACCATACAATTTGCATTTTGTCATGGTCATGGTCACAACTTAAACTGTGTGGCCCAAGGGCCCTGACTTTGTACTCAGCAGTTAGACCTCGACTACGAATTCCAAGTCAGCTCATTAACACATCGCCAGCAATCCACATTGCAATGCACATGTCTCGCTGGCCATTACAGAGGGTCTTCCAGGTCTGAAGAAGCTCTGATCACATCAAAAGGTATGCAGATATACTTTTTGATGCCGGCTCTCAAGAACTTGAGTTAGTCACATGCTTTTTTCTCTGAAACTGATTGTCTTTAGGGCCATTTCTCTGCATTTCAGATATGTTTTAGATGCATTTTAGAGGGGTCTTACATGTGTTTCCATTCATCTCTTCTGAAGGTGCATTTTGCTGAAAATTACACTAAAGATGTTTTGGGTTCTTATTGTGCCACACTCGAACTGCACCAAAATGTGCAGATGTAAAAATGGCCCTTAACACATAATATTGTCCCAAATATGACAGCCCCTCCCACTTCCCACTGGAAACTTAGCACATCTCTCAAATATGTGACTGGCTGCAATGCAATTTTGCTTTTCTCTAGTTTTCATAAATGTTTACCCCTACAGTAAACATAAAATATGACAGAATAGGAAAGGGGACCCATTCACACATGTACACTTTGGTGCATTGTACTGTGAATGTTACATTGTACATTAACATTTGTTACATTAAGGCAGCCTATTGATTTTAGATTGGCCGCCAATGCACCAGATCAGACAGGAAACGTATCGTTTTTCTTGTGTAACAATACATAGCACAGGTAGTGGATTATGAAGGTATGTTGAGATCTAATTCAAAGTGAATGGCACCACAAAATATGTAATGCACGTTACTGCAACATAATGGTGTACTAGAAAGGGGGAGGAGGGATTTATTCAATGCCATAAAATAGTGTTCATGAAACTCCAGCTGCTATTAACAAAAAATGTCCTCTTTTTTTTGCATATTTGCAGGTTACCTAATTAGTGGGAATTTTAACATATACAATTAACTACTGGCAGTAAGTATGGAATAAGTGACCTGTTACTGAACCTAATGGCCAAATAAGTGGAAACATTGCTCCACACGGTTACACATAATGACTTGCCTACAGCCAGTCATTTTCTGTCCTTTACATCACCAAATGTGCTCACTTCCTAATCATTGACAAATTACAATTTTGGCAAAAACCTATGATTGTCATTTTAAAGATGTACAACCACTTTCATATAATAAAATATAAGTCAAAACATTTCAGCAACTCTTTTTGAGGCTTTTCAAACGTTTAAACCAATATAACTTTTTATATAATTACATTTTGCTGTCTATACAGTGCGCACGTGTGTAATTTAGAGTTATTTTTACACAGACTCAGGGAAACTGTTTGCTTCAAAATATCCATTCAGGTGCAGGGTATTTTTTGTTTTAATGCTATGCTTGATTGTATGTTCCCTGGACTAGAGTAAAAAATAAACTTCAAATCAACACCTACAAGGATAACTAATTTGGTCCAAAGTAAGCCCCAACAACTCAAAGTAGCTCAATCAAAATGGACCTCATCCTTAAATACCCAGGTACCTGGTGCACTTTCAGTTTACTTAGAACTGGGCATATACAACAATCTAAAGATTTAGTTATAAATAATTATATTTATGCAGGATAGCCTATTAAAGATTCAGATTTGCCAATTTGTTTGGCTTTACTTACTCTGCCAGAAACTTACTCATGGGGAGTCAGAGGTCATAAAACATCTAAAGTCAGAGAGTTACTGGCCTGTCGACTGCCTGAGCTCATGGTAAATGTTCAACATATATATTTTTTACAAAGCAGCACATTGCAACACACAGTGGTGCGTGGAATGTTGGCCTCTCTGTACAGTGAATTAGGGTGCCATTCACAATGGATGGCACAACAACACACCGTAATCAGCAAGATGCGCTAACACATGTTATAGTAAGGGCTAGTTCACACCAGCCAATTCTGGCCCGAATGCACTGGTTCACATTCCAGCCGGCTCACTTTGTTTTGGGGCAGGATGGTGCATTGAAGTCAATGGCACAGCCGACACGCCTTCCGGCCGCAGCGCGATCGGCCGCCTGCGTTTTTCGGTCCAGTGTGGTCAGAAAAAATAGTGCAGCATTTTTTCTGACCGGACCGAAACACACCGCATTGATGTGCCACGTGTTCCAGTCCGGCCAATTGCACTGCAGCCAGAGGGCATGGCTGCTGTGCCATTGCCTTCAATGCACTGCCACGCCCCCTCCTGGCCCAAAACAAAGTGAGCCGGCCATGATGCCATCCAGTGCATTCCGGCCTGAATCATGCCCGAACACACTGGGCGGGTGTGAACCAGCCCTAATAAATGTTAAAATGTCCATGCATTGCTGTATTGCACATATTTGGATGGGCCCTCAAAGTCCATTTAGGACTGGTACTCTTCAAAAACTTCAACCATTCACACTGATCACACTTATGTCATATAATAAAAATATTAGTACAATTCATTTCTACATCAATAAGCTTTTTTTTTTGTTAATGTTCAATTATTCTCAACCCGCCTTGTACATAATTTTCAGTACACAAAAGTTTGTCTCCCCTTTTTCTCACCCGGGTATATATATTTCAAAGCACTTGTAAACTGCACATCTGTTGTTTCTGTGTTGCATTGGGAGGTGATAAAAGAGATAATACAACATGCACAAGCTTTGCACAAGAAAATGAACATTGTCTGCGTCACTTTGCTCTTCCTGAGTAGAAACCGAATTCCCAACTTACAAACAATCCATTTTTGGCAAAATATTCTGTCATATAATAAGGCAGCCAAGCTTTTTATTTTGTTGTGATGTCTTCTTTAATTCTTGCTTCATTGATTTCATGGGTATCTCACATTGATTTCTTCTAATAATATGTTTTTCATTTCTTAAAAAAATCATTTTTTTTCCTCCAGAGTCTAAAAGGCAATATCTGGTCTTTATATATTTTGTGTTCTTGAGGATTTCAGCTGTACTGATTCAAAACAGTGTTCTTTCTCCTGTAACAATAACAGTATTGATTATGAAGATTGAACTTTAAAGTTATATTAAAATTCAAAGGTTATCTTGCTTAAAATTGTATCTACGGCTATTTTTTTCTTGTTTAATATAGATAGAGTGGATAGAGTGCAGAAAAGTGAGAACTTCTGTTTGTATTGCTGTCTGCATTCCTATTGGGGAGATTAACTTTCTATATTTGACCTGCTGACTGTACCAATTCTGGTTACCAGTAAAGAAAGTGATAGGATATCTAAAATATAACACTTCTCATCTAAATACAAATAAAAGGGAAAGCTTCCAATAGGGACTTGTGCTGCAGACAAATATCAGAGGGGATCCCTCCCACTCTCTCGATTTCTGTTGTGTCTCCAGGGCAGGAAATAAAGGGAAGTCTCCCCAATGAGACAATACAGGTCCCGTAAATCATCACATTCTATACACTGTTAACAGATATAAGGACACTGAGGAAGATTCCAATGCTGCAGCGGAGGAGGAGGCAGGCTGGAGGGAGCACTGTCACAGCTGGCCAGCTCGGAGAGTCGGGTATCTTAGTTTATTTTCTCCCTAGACACAAACGATCACTTAACCTTTGCAGTGTGGGAGTAGCCCACTACAAAGGGTTAATACAAAGTTTTCCTGGCGTATTTAAAACTCATATATACTTTATGTATAATTATGAATCATTTATTTGCCTTACCTTTGTTGCAAGTGATTTCAGCTTTTCCAGTATTGATTTCTTATTGGAATAGACCACGTCATCGTCATTGTCTTCTCCCTCCATTATGGCACAGCTGTCAGGGGCAGGAAGCTCGCACTCTTTGGAATTAGCAGTAATGATTAGTTTGGAGTATTTGTATTCAAGCCTATGGAAAAAAAAAGAGTAGAATATGCATATTTAGAAATAGTTGCAGCAAGTGTCTAATACCCTGTCCTCTATTTCATTATAATCACAAGACATGCTACAGGCATATATTTTAAGATGTTGTGCAATAATTGCTATCTTGTTCACATTAGCTGCAGTGACATTTTTCACTACTTAGAGAACGAGTTTTTAGAACATTAGGCTTATTAAGCATTTTGCTTCTGGTTTCATTTTCATTCATCTTATGAGAACCAGAGACAAAATGTGTCAAACTGTACGTTGCTAAACTACATCCTACTGAAATGCATAGATGGAAACTATAGTTACGTCTTTTCTCTGGTGTCTCTGTGCTGCTTATTAAGCTGCAGAGAAAATTCAGGAGTAAGGACAGGTCCTTGGCTAGAAGTTGGCAGGCTCATAGAACTGTTACATTGGCACAATGGTGAACAATGTGGCCTGACATTTCAAATGTACCCAGGTCGATAGCCCCTCTAACAGCCCATGAACACATATAAGTGCAGTGCAAGCGGAATAATGCTATATGTATGAAATATTGTATGACACTTTGTATATCAAGGTACAATCTGTAGTGAGACCTAACACGTTAATATATTTACGCCAGTGTGGTTATTAAGTAGCTGTCCTGAATAAGGGAACTACAAGGATACAACCTTCTTAGGCAGTATACTGACAATACATATTATAGTATTATACAATTTCCATAACCTTAAAAAGGAACTCTAGCCAGAAATATTTCCTTACTATGAAAAGATGTCCCAGGTCTGGGGGGTACCATATTGCTGGTTACAAAACAATCTCTCCACAGAACTTGAATTCATAGTCCTATTGGCTTGCTGTGACAGCAAATGTGGCATTTTATCTCAGCTGATATTCAGGTCCTTAAAGATCAGCTCAGTTTTTACAGACACAATGCTAATAAGTTGGGAAAGGGGTATGAAGGGTATTCCACTGGGGGCAACAACTAAAGTGAACCATTCCACTGATGGAAAACCCTAAAGTAAACCTGTTCCCAGACTATGCACAAAAAAGTTTTTATATATTAGGAACAAGCAGTAAAAACACTTTAAAACCACCATTCGCCTCTGTAGCTATAGGCATTGCAAACAATTGTCTTCAAAGTTTGCAACAGACGCACAGAAATCTTATTTTTTTTGCCTATTATTTTCTATTGCATCAGAATCTTGGCAGCCCATCAGCTTTTGAATGCAAACAAACAGCAGATGTTTTAAGCTGTTAGAAACCACTGAAAACTATCTTTAGAATCTTTGTTGTGATCCCAAACAAGTAGTAATCAGCACCTCTGTAACATTGTAAAAAATTCCACCTTTAATAGAAAATCTTCATAAGAACATTTCATGTAAGCATATAGGGGTTGATTTACTAAAGGCAAATAGTCTGTTCACTTTGCAAGGGAATTTGCATTTACAGGGGAATTTACTCTTAGCTTTGTGATTTTTGTGATGGTGACAATCCACTTTGCAAAAAATTCCCAAGGAAGAACAAAGAAAATAAAAAACATTCTTTTTGCTTGCACATGATTGGATGATGGAAGTCAGCTGAGCTTCCCCTCATTCACTAAAATAAGGGAAAATTCCCCTGCAAAGTGCAAATTCTCTTGCAAAGTGAACAGTCTATTTGCCTTTGGTAAAGCAACCCCATAATGGCCATAATCTAAGCACAGGTGCACATAAACCTAATAAAATGCAACCCAATCACATTTTAAGTAAATAATATATGTGACTGGAGCTTCACTTTAGGTTTCATATTGACAGTCATTAAGGGATAAGGGAACAACTAATGTCTTAAAAGAGAATTATGAGGAGAGTGAAATACACTTATCCCCATAATTAGAGGCAACTTTGACACTGAAGCTGTCACACGTTGGCTCTATTGAACAAGAACTGAGCGATCACATACCGCTGATCATTCAGTTACTGATCATCTCCCTGCAGAGAGTGGGGCAAGGGAAGGCAGAGAGGCAGAGCATGCTGTCAATCAGGTAGTGGAGTGGTTCTCGACACTATTGTCAGGATCCATCCCGGCTGCAGAGCGCTTCTGCCCTGTCAGCATATAGTGGGCAATAGCCTGCTATTTGCTGACTTTTGGGTCACAGGAGGACATAAGTATATGTCCTCCTGTGACCCTAAAAAGAACTATGGCAAAAAAGGTTGGGCCATAGTTCTCTTTTAACATCACATGAAGTAACTAAGTAACTGAACATCACATGAAGTAACTAAGCACTACATAAGGCTGTATAATGTTTGAAAATTGCTTTCCCCCGGTTTGTACATGACTAGAAGCCAAGACACCTTTAATACATATATTTATGTCATGCCCCTCTAAGTACTTGTGTTTTGTATATCTATGTGTACAGAAATTACCGGTTAAATACTGTAACTTTGAAATTTGTGAATTTTATTGATCTCCAAATTATATTGGTTACTATAAACACATGATAACACTCCCAGACCGTGCATAAAAATCAAATCAAACTTTAAATGTACAATCTGCACTCACTTTTGGGTTTTTTTCCAGAAGTAACAGGTCAGTGCTACTAGAAGAACTGCTGCGAAGGCACCAACACCAGCTCCCACTTTCAGCCAGAAGTCTATTGATTCACAGGCCGCTGTCCTTTTTTCTGGTAGAGGTACACCTTTCATGCACAGTTTCGGCTCATTCCACACATAATGAGTTTCCTTCAAGTTAAATCACATATTAAGAATGCTATATAAATATCAATAAGGTCAATAAAAAGTATAATTTTGATAACACTTGTTTATTCTTTACTGCTGAAAAACAGGACTGCTTAGCTGTTTTTTTCATTGGTAAGCACATAAGGGTTAAAATCCCAAGAAAAAAGTATCTCCTTTCCGACCTCCACATCAAATTAGAAACCAGATATATAAGCCTGTTATTCATATAAGTCAGCGTTAATGCAGCCCTGACCTGCCTGTATCAGAGTACTTATTATATGCTGCAGAAATGCAGTGTTCTCTAAAATCTTGCTTATGCATGGGCTTGGTCATAGAATGGGTGACAGGAAAGAACATTTCCAACCCTTGGAAATAAGAACTCTGACTTGTGTGCATTGGAGGTTTTTATTTCTCATGTACAGTTTGATGATGAAAAAGAGAAGTGTGAAGTATCATAATGGGTCACCCAGATGGTTTAAGTGCTGTAGATTAGGCACCTATGCATTTGGTGCAAAACTGAAAATATTCAGTATCAGTAGTTTGGCATTGATAAGGGGATAAAAGTTAGATTAAGTTTAGAGTTAAGAGTAGATGTTATGGTTAGGGTTAGGTTATAGGGGGTGAAGTGATAAGTTATGTTTTAGGGTTAAGAATAAGTTTTAAAGGGTAAGTTTCAAGTATAGGGCGAGGCTATGGGTTAAGTTTTAAGGGGGCTGGATAAGGATCGTGTTTTATGGTTAGTTTAAGGGTTAATTGATGAGTTAAGGATTTGTGTTAAGGGTTTATATTAAGTGTTATAACATTCTCAAGAACCAACAGAAATTTCAGTAGACTGCAACTTATTAAATACCTGCTGTCCTTTTCGACAAGCTCCTTCTATCTTTTGATAGTCATTTTCCATACAGAGAGGACATGCATCTGCTGTTTCCCAGAGGAAATGAAAACTGCAACCATCACATGTACCAGCAGGACATAATCTACAAGACAAAAAGTTCATCCAATTCTAAAATATCTATTCACCTGTAAAAATGTAAACCATGAAAAATACGGGGAGAACATTTCTTGTATGTCATTAACACCCTGGAACAAGTACTAACTCTGTCACATTTAATAGGGGTAATAATATAAAGTAACATAGCAACCAGAGAAAATTCAAAGATACTTAGGAAGACTAGCAAATTATGATTATTGATCGTTGTATATAGGCTAATGGACTTTGATCTTGGCCTTGCTAGGTAAGCCCTAATGTCGATTACCCTGCTGTACCTTTTATGGTGCGAGGAATGCCAAAGACCCTCTCTGCAGAAAATCAACTTGGATCACCCTTCAAATTAAAATACTATTGCCAAGATGATAGCTCTTGATAGGATGCTGCCTGCCATATCTTACCTTTGAGCACCAAATGTGCACCAGCTCTGCCCTTGCTAATTTTGAAATACTTTTTGTTTATAGTATGCCTGCTAGCCTCGGCTGACAACCCATACTACTAAGTATAAAGCAAAAGTCCCAAAGATATATAGATCTCTATATAGATAGATAGATAGATAGATAGATAGATAGATAGATAGATAGATAGATAGATAGATAGATATGTATCTATCTATCTATCTATCTATCTACACTGTATATATGTTTATTAAAAGATGTGCTCACTGAAAATATAATTTCCTTGCAATTCAAAATGCAGTCAAAACTTCCTTTTAAGTCTAGACACTTTGACATTTATACAGTGTTTAAATATGATGTTTTCACCTGTACCTGATTTCATGATGACACAGTAGCAGTAGAATGTATTATGAAAAAGTTACTTTTGTCTTCCTTAAAGCACATACACGGCCCGCCTATTTTCTATATCTCTCAAATACAGGGAATCTTACATTATAAACATTACTTAGACTTACTAATAAATGAAATTCTAGTACAATGATCTAGTACAGTGATTTAATAAACATTTGAAAACGTAATTTAATGTCATCTTGAAGATGAAAAAGGGCATCCACTTTAAATTACCTGGGCACTGAAATATCTCCTTGACCAAGTTTTGTAGGGTTGCATCTCAAAGAAATCACTGTAGCTCTCCCTTTTTCACATGATGATGTAACTTCAGAAGATCTAAGAAAATAAAAAAAGAAGACCTGAGAAAATATACCATACAAATCCAAGAATCATAAGTTTTTATGGCTGCAGTATTACAAAAAGTTAACCTTTTTTGGAGCAATAAACACCAAGGCAGAGAATATGACATTTACCAAACCTCCACTGCTGGTGTTCCAGGTGTCAAAGCCACATTCACCACCAGTAAATGTTTAATGAAAGTCACATTTACTGTATTATATATATGCCCCCAAACTTCCTGCACTAATACCATTATGTAATCAAAATCTGTATCACAATATAATGGCTGATCCCGTGCACATATCTTGCCTTAAAGTGACACTAAACTCAAGAGTTAAATCTAAAAAAAATGCATTCACGTATCCTATTAACAAAAATGTATCTTATCTGTGTATCACACAGCCGTAGATCCTCAAATCATCTCTGAATCCATGCTGACACTGTCCTTCCTTCTGGAGGGTGGGTATTTTTGTTCTCCATGGTCCCTGTGTGTGTTATAAAGTAGGCACCTCTACGAGCTCGCTCCACTGATAGACTACAATCTAAATACAAATTAGTAAACTACACATGAGCTTGTAGTCCATTACAGCAGTGAGCTTGGAGTGGTGGCTACTTTACAACACACACAGGGACCATGGGGAACAAAAGTAGCCACCGTCCATAAGGATGGGCGGGTTTCAGCACCAATTCAGAGATGATTTGAGGATCTACAAATAGGATACATTTTTGTTAATAAGGTACTTGAATGCATTGTTAAGATTTAACGCCTAAGTTTTGTGTCACTTTTAATTCTAAAATGCGTTTTGCTACCATTTTCTGTAGATAATACTGAAAGGTTTATTATTCTGCAATAACTAAGATTAAAGCAAGTTGATAAAATTCAAACTGAAATATATTTTATTAAAAAAGTAATATTAACCAATCCCCAACTTACTTGAAAAAGAAATTTATATCTGGTATCTTCTTCACGGCAGGAAATGTGTCTGGCTTAATGCTGGCTTCTCCCAGGCTTGTGCCTGCTGTAGCACCTGCATTGATAAAATAGAACACTCACATGAAAAGCTATTAATTTTATAGCTAGGTAAAAAATTACAATAGCAAATACTATTTATTTAGATTTGGATACTCACAGGTGATAAAAATGCATTTCGATAATAAAGCAAGAAGAATTCTGTATGTCCTGAAACTGTGCCGAATTAGCTCGAGGGTTTACATGTTCTTCAGGCCTGAGAGCTGAGCAGTGACTATTTTTATAACATAATCCTGTGTTTTTACAGAACTTGCAGTATCTTCAGAACAGTAAAGTGATTTAAAAACTGGACCAAGGAACACTGCATCCTTAAATATATGCCTTTTGTAGTATTATGATCTTTCATTGGATTTCTGATTTTTCCTATAATTAAGCCTGTATGTTATTATTTACAGACTTGAGTTGGTCTGATTTTTACAGGCTTGGTCCAGATTGTAACCAAAAACAATTCAGTCACGCGTCAAGAAATGTGGCTGTATTAATTGCTGATGAGTTCTTGCCTCTTAGTGATTAGTATATTGTAATAAAGACTTATAGTGCTGTATTGTAACATACCTAGAAAACTATCAGCCAAGCTAACTGATTGTGATGACAAAGCTGTTCGGAATCCCTTGCTGTCAGATGGGATGATAGTGGATTGGCAGACAAATGTTTTCACAAAGTTGGATATGTCGTCAGGCTCTGCTTCCATGTCTTTGGCTGTGACATCAGTAATGTTATCAGTGCATATAGCCATCTTTTCCCCCTTAAAAAAAAAAAGAAAAAGAAAAACACATTACCGCTACAAGATAAAATTACATTTAACTCCAAACTTTAAAATTCTACACCACATGTGATATCAAAAGGGGTGAATAAGTAGGTTTATGGGGGTCAGAAGTGGTTAGCATACAACAGAAACTGAATATCACACACTTGACAAGTGTGCCACTGATGGTGGTACCCACGCTTGTACACACTATTCCTGTACATCCAGGTACATTTGAATAGTGCTTTTTCTCTATAAAGTGTGCGGGCTAAGTGTAATTGACATCTCTAAACTCTCCTACCCATGAGCAATAGATCAGGAGTTGCTGGAGAACTAATAAAGGGAGAAGAGAAGCTCATTAACACCTTTTTTACAATTATATTGTCATAGACAAAATTCTCTTGTATCAATCTGCAAACATATCCATATTTCCATACTTTACATTTGATCTTGAGATCCACAAACCTCTCCATATCTCTTTGATTTGAATGTGATATACTGGTATTATTAGACTAATGGGAAATTGAAATACCATTGTGTATGACCCGATTATTCTGCAGTATGACACTACACTCAGTGACACTACATGAAATAATTCCCTTAATACGTGTTGAACTGTTCATTGTGACTTTCGTTATAATAACCCTAAGTTCTTACTTCATTTCCACACAGACTGATGTTGAATACGTGGAAGTACTTTGTCCCTTTGGAAGTGAAACTGGGTCCATTCGTGAGGGTTGTTACACTGCTAAGTCTGTTGAAATTGTATATTAAACTTTGGTTTTCATGCATTATTGACCAGGAGCAGTCACTAAAGCAGGCTGAATGATCCTGAAAAAAAGAAGGAATATCATTATGAATAAGATGTTTTAATTCTAAAATATTTCACTCCCAATACAGAAAGTTAATAAACCTAAATAAAATGTAAATATTAAAAAATCAATTGAAAGCATACACACAGCAATATATACATGTCTACTACATTAGCTTTTGTAATTTAATTATTACTCTTTTATTCTCTTTTTTAAAGTTTTCCATAAAACAAAGTTTATTAGGGGTAGAAATTACAGTTTATTGGCCTTGTCAGATGCATGTAGCAGCAGTGAAGCTGTCTTCACCAACCACAATTACATGGACTGAGTGGTGAGGCTTGGAGGAAAGGGAGTGTCGTTTCACACCATAAGGCACATATTTGAAAGGGTTGTGCAAGTGTCTGACTGAGAGAAGGGTACAAGACAGCTCTAGCAGCTTTATAAAATATAAAGCGATATTTGAATTGTGCTCAGAAGGGTGGTTTTTGTACAGTTTGACTCAGAAGAATTACATTTTTTAAGATTCTGCATTCATTTCAGATGACCCTGCAATTTAATATATGAGGTTAAGAGATATCAGAGAAGAGATGAGACCACTTATACATGTCATGTGTAAGCACTTAACCTTTACAACATTTAACAGCACTTTTGTGACACTTTTGTGTAACTTTATCAATAGAGTTAACATTACAGAGCACAGCTAGCTGTTTGTTTTCTCAGCCTAAGGACCAGCCACCAAATTGGGCTGCTGACACTGCAGTTAGCCTTTAAAAGCCTTGGACTTAAGCTATCAGATCAGACAGAAGGGAATGGGCATGCTATAGGAGCACTTAGCATAAGGTACCTTGTTACTTCTACTTGCAGGACCGCAGGGAATGCAGGCCTCCTTTCCATACACTTGATGTGGAGACAGATATGTGTTGACTGGGCATTCTTTACATGTACTGCTCTCTTTATCAATATAATGCCCTGCAGGACAAGGGACACAGGAAGATCCTAGCTGTTGAGAAAGCATGGCACAGGCACGGCAGGTTGATGCTACTCCATCCATAACATTGGTTGCAGTTATTGAATAGATCTTTACAACATCGTTTATATAATGTCGGCTCTGGAAGAAAAAAAACCCACAAAGGAAATTTTTACTCCTTGCTAAGTAAACAGTGAATAATGCAGTATAATTTAATTTCAACTCAAATTTTGCTGCAATATTAGCCATCTCAACAAATTAAAAATGTGATCAATGGTTTTTTAAATAAATTGAGACAGTCTTAATAAGAGTGTATTATGCCTCTGCCTACACAAACAACCAAGATAAGAAAACTGTTCATTATTTCTAAAGTTATGTATGATGGTTAATGAAAATAACATAAAGACAATATTTATGCAGGAGTTTATAAGATAACATATTAAAAAGATTTGTCTCTGGTAATTCCAGGGAATGCATTTATGGTGTTCCATTCTCATGAACTAAAACAATTTATCCCCATTCTTTCAGCCAGAGGAATAAAGATCAACTAAGGAATGTTAAACAAAAATAGGATTTTTGGACTCAACATAAAATCCTTTTAAGGAAGTTTACTGAGGGACACAAGACGTCTTCACTTTTGGATTATACTGCAATTTACAGAAGGGTTGGACACTGTCAAACAAAATAACTATAGACCAGCCCAGTATAACTCCCTCCTACTTCCAGCATGCCTATGTTTTGTAGCAAAGCAGTACCAAGAGGATGTTTATAAACAAAGAGGGGTGCATTGTATGCCTCAATGAACTCCAAGAACAGTCTTTCACCTTTGGAACGTTCAAAAGCACTCCAACTGAGGGTTGGCCAACACTGCAAACCAATGTTATCTGGCCCAAGAAAAATAGAACTGGGGACTGCCTAAAGCCCAAAGTGTTCATGTGAAAGACCTTACGTCAGAAGCTGGCATTTGATAAGGCCTGAACATCCACCTTATAGAACTTAGACATGAGTCAGCCTTGCCAATCCTAATGCCAAAAAGCCCAAGAGGTACTCACATCATGTAGAGTGCGCCTTTAACTAAAAAGTGTGGAACTTGATCCTTGAGACCGTAAGCAGGGCCGGATTTCCCACAAGGCCACCAAGGCCCGGCCCCGCAGCAGCAGGGCGTAGAGGGGCAGCAGAGGTGTGAAATTCCTATCGCCCGACGCTTGGGACAAGTAGTCCTGGGCGCTGGACGGGTAGTTTTTTTTCTACATTTAGCCCTGCTTTGGGCAAGCAGCAGGGTTAAATGTAGAGTGGGGAAGCTGCAGCTCGTTTTCTACAAGTGATCTCGGGGATGCTGAGATCACTTGTAATTAACCTGCTCGCCCGTCCAAATTCCCTACCTCCCCTTCCATGGCCCACCCCTGGCTGCCTCTCCACACTGGCCGCCTCCCTCCCCACCGTTGTTTTCGGGGTCCCCTGCTCTTCAGGGGGACCTGGGACTACGGCATGGTAGTTTAGGATGGAGAGCAGGGTGTAGAGCGGAGAAAGTCCGTTCAGTAAACAGAAACTGTCACCTCTAAATGCTATCACACAGGGGCTTGTTAGCTCCTGTGTGATAGCAATAAAGTTAAGTAAAACAAATTGCATAAAAAAATAATTTAAATTGACAAATAGTAAAAAAATTAAACAAATAAAAATTTAAGAAAGTAAAAGATAATAAGAGATAATTTAAAAAATAACAAAAATTAAAACGTGATAAAAAAGTTTAAAATTATAAAATAAAAAAGGAAAAGATAAGATAAATAAAAATGTAAAATAGAATAAAGAAAAAATTAAAAAAGATTCAAACTAACCCCGCCGCCCCGATGGGGGGTGCATTGAGGAACCTGGCCTTGGGGCCCTGACCGTAAGCTTGAATAATGGTCTCTGTGAGCCACCTAGAGATGGTGCACCCTTGCAGATACCATCCTGCATGGCAAAAACGGGATCAGTCTTTCTGAAGAAATCAGTAGCTGACAGGTGAACTTCCGCAGCCACAACCAGATCAAGTCAATATAGAAAAATATCCTTTTGATAAACTGGAGTGAGACAGAGGGACATAAGAACAATGTCCTGCTTGAGGTAAAAGGCCAATAATAACTTAGATAAAAAGGTAGCTCGAGGCCTTAAAACCTTGTCCTGGAGCAAAACCAGAAAAGATTCTTGCAAGATAACACCAATAACACAGACAATTGCCTAGTAGACGTGATAGCTACAAGGAACACCACCTGAGGGAGAGTAGGCAAAAGGCATGTCTCTAATGGATTCAAATGGCAGTTTTTGAAGCTCAGAGAGAACCACATTCAGATCCCACAGAGTCACAGAAGAGCGAACAAGGGAAGCAACATGGATGACTCCCTGCACAAAGGTCTTAATCAAAGAATGAGAAGCCAATGATCTCTAGAACAAGATAGCAAGAGCAGAGAGATCACCAGGTATCTGGCCCTACAAAGTGTTCCATGGCCAACTTGTTACCAGAACAGAGTCTGGAAAGCACCCAGGTTATTTCCAGGCTAGTCTTGCAACACCAGCAGGGTCGAGTCATGGCACTCTGAAAGCGAGGCTGAGGACTGGTGGCACCTGATAGCTGCATTCGTAGAGATCAGCTCTAGCAGCAATGTAGAGAAGAGTCTTGATTGAAGAAAAAAAAGGAAAGGTTATAGCAAAAAATAGCAGAGCTGAAAAAAGGACATCCATCCTCCTAGGACACTTGCACAAATCTCAGGCATGCTGATAGTAGGATAGGCTATCTTGGGCTAGCCAACAGTTTGTTGGTTGCCTGTTGTGATCATTGTAGTGGCAATTTATGTGTCATACATTAATTCAGAACAACTTGGGTGATATTATTATTGTTGTCTTTTCAGGCTTACAGCAATCTTCTGGTGCACAAACCTTTGTTATACTGATTGTGACATATCAAATTAATATCTGGTTATTACTACTCACTATGGCTATTTACATAAATCCCATAGACTAGCAGCAAAATTGTGCATGCTTATTATAAGACATTACACTGTATAATATCATCCATTTCATTTCATATATTATCTCCTTATGCTACTATGCTACCAAACACTGCAAAACCACTGAAGAGTCTATTTTTAAACATCAATTTTGTCAAGTATTATGTGTTTCCTCTACTTGTATCTCTTGGGTACACAAAATATATTAAGTAGAAAACAAGGAAAGTTATGCTCGTATATCATTAAATCTGTTCATGTGTTAAGGAATTCACACCATGTCATAGACTGTTCAAAGCACACTTAAACAGAAATATTAAAGTCCTACTACCTAGCAAATGTTTCATACTATTATTAACTAGGGGTGCGGAAATTGACGATTAATCCGTCGATTAATCATTCATTTCTTTGATCGATCGAGGAGTCCGTTGACGTCGATGTCCGTGACGTCACCGGACTCCTCCCCCTTCCCTTCGTTACCTGAACGGAATGACTTGGGGCGGTGAGTCTCCTGGTTCATGAGTGCATCGGATGTGAAAACCAAAGAGAGAAACAAGAGGGCGCAAAACTGACTGCTTGGACCGAACATATCAGGGAAGGTGACAGGAACAATAAATACTGTATATATGTATAATGTACTTACTTATGTGGGTCTGGGAACCAGATGTGAACCGGCCTGTGAGGAGGATCAGGATGTCCAGAATGTATGTTGAATGGCGGCTGATATATTGCCTGAGGCTGCCGCCATTCAACATACATTCTGGACATCCTGATCCTCCTCACAGGCCGGTTCACATCTGGTTTCCAGACCCACGTAAGTAAGTACATTATACATATATATTTATTGTTCCTGTCACCTTCCCTGATATGTTCGGTCCAGGCAGTCAGCTGACCTAGTTTTGCGCCCTCTTGTTGTTCTAACAAGGCTGGTTAGACCCCCACAGAGCCCTGCTACCCTGGTGAGGCCCCCTCAAAGCTCTGGTGAGACCCCCCCTCTGTATGTGCGGTTTAATTAATCGAAATTAGTCGATTAATCGATTTAAAAAAATTTGATTAATCGAACAGGAAAATTTTAATCATTACCAGCCCTATTATTAACCTGTATTCTCTGAATGATATACTTCAGCACATGATAAACTTACAAATTGAGCTTGGTTGGTTCTCTGAAATGCCCACGTAAACATGTACGTAGCGTTCTTGTTTATGATGTGAGTGTAAGACTGCTTTTCTCGATTTCCTCCCCACGATTCTACCACACTTGTGGACTTTCTGTTTACATCCTGTAGGAATGAAAATAATTTCACAAATATAACATAATATATGAAACAATACCTTCAATGTCCAAGGTTTCAACAATGCACATGCTTGCATAGGGCAGCCATTTTGTTTGCAGTGTCTTTATAATAGACAACTATAATAGTCAACTCAAGAAGCAAACATAGCAGGTTGACAATGCTGTTGTCTATTGCTAGGCAATGACTTATTGCTATCAGCCTGTAAAGGAATTGCTGCCAGGATCTCCAGATAAGAAACTTTGTAACACATTCAAAATATATTTTTGTGCTTATGAAAACTGTATACAGTGAGACATGATGCCAGACTTACAAAATAGATTTTGAGTTTACATACATTGTGTTAACCCCGGGTAGAAGGGAGAGTGATGGAAAATGTATTTCTTAATAAATACACTTGCCATGAAGAGACATACTGTTTATATAAATCTAAGCCTGAATTTTCCCTTAGCTTAGTGAATGAGGTGAGGCTCTGCTGACTTCAATCATCCAATCATATCCAAGCAAAAATACTGGGGGTTTTTTTTTCTTTGCACATTATTGGGTATTCCTTACAAAGTAAAATGTCACCACATTCACCAAGCTAAGGGAAAATTCCCTTGCAAAGTGCAAATTCCCTTACAAAGCTAACAGCCTATTTACCCTTAGTAAATCAACCCTGAAGTGTGGAAGCCACAGACAACCAGGTAACTAGTAAAGTCAGAAGGAAGTTGGTAATGGTAGCCTACATGTTGCTTTCGGTACAGGTTTACCTCAATGTATAATAAAGACATTTCAATGCTTTTTAATCTGCAGCTTCCAATAAAATAGTACCTTGTGATCCTGCCCTTAAGATTTATGTTCAAACACTTCCTGTTACAGGGTTATATTTTTATTTTTTTTGTTGGTCCCTGTCTTCTAGTTGTTCTCCTGCATTGTCAACCTCACATGTGCTGACACTACAAGTGGCCATGCCAACACACACTGCTCCACTGTTGTCACCATTGGGAAAACCTGCCCTAAAATATGATGTGCAGCAGTTGCAGTCCATGTCCATGCATGTAAGCAGGAGGTGGCTGAAAACAGACTGCAGGAGAGCAACAATGCAGAGATGTAACAAAGGATTTAAATATATATATATACAGGTGAAACTCGAATAATTAGAATATCGTGCAAAAGTAATTGCAGTAAGTGCTGCAAAAGGGGCCCAAACCAAGTACTGAGTACATATGCATGCTTGTACTTTTCAGAGGTCCGATATTGTTCTATGTACAATCCTTGTTTTATTGATTGCATGTAATAATATACTTTTTTGAGGTTGTGGATTTGGGGTTCTTGGGGTTTTCATGAGCTGTAAGCCATAATCATCACAATTATGACAAATCACGGCTTGAATTATCTTGTTTTGCATGTAATGAGTCTATCTCATATATTAGTTTCACCTTTTAAGTTGCATTAGTGAAATAAATGAACTTTGCACGATATTCTAATTATTCGAGTTTCACCTGTATATATAGGGGCTGACTAGCAGATACTGAAGCTTGGCCCAGTGGGAGATTCCTCCATCCACACAGTTTAGCGTAGATGGAGGAATCTGTTGCAATTTTTCCATCTGACCATAGAATATCTGCAGAAAATGTATAGGTGTATGGTCAGCTTAAGGCCTATTTTAAACAGGAGTCAATTAATCTACCAGCATGTCTTCCGAGTGAGGAAACTGGAGCACCTGGAGAAAACCCACACAAGCACATTTATACAACATCTTAAATATTAGGCAGGCCTAGCATGTAAGGCACAATCTCAAAGGTAAGTCTAATGGTCGTGATATTTTTTAAACAAGGTTAATACAGTTACTGTGGGTTTTTTTTCATTTATCCCAATATTTTGGATAAACAACCTTCATTCCCCCAAAGATACCACTTTTCAAGCATACATAAAATTTAGATTAACATGTGCCTGAGAGCATCAATATTTTCCTGCCAGTACTGCTAACAAAGACACGTGCACACTTGCAGAAATCAAAACTACTACATCTATAAAAATCATGAGAATAACTGGCAATCAGCAGAAATATATCCTGGGGCATCACTTACCACCATGAAGTACAGCACACAGTCTGCTGAACAAATAGTCTCAAACACAAAGGTAATCCTGCCCAGTTCTGCGCCATTTGTCCCAGTCATTGATGTTGGAGGCCTAAAATTGTAAAGCAAAATCATTTGTAGACCTCGAGCTATGTTTCACAACATGTATTTTGTTATTCTTATTAAGCTCTAAGGCTAGCCATTTTAGGGCCAATAGACATGGATAAATGGAATGCACTATAATAACTCCTGCAGCACTTGAAGCACTGAAGGTAATCACATCTTTACAGCACAGGAGCAATTTCACATATATTTAGAGTGGATTATGCAGTTCACAGGTGTGTGTGGAGAGCATTGCAATTATAATACAAAAAGGACACCAGAGTGTGCTGGCATAGTGTAGTAAATGGGATGTGTTTGTGTTTAAATAAAAATGATTCCAATTTACTATACTATGCCAGCGCACTCTGATGTTTTTTTCATATTATAGTTGTGATGGAAAAATGGATGTGCAGTTTGTGATGGAAAAGTGAATGTTAAATCAGAACTAAGGTCTAGTAAAAAAACAAAAAAATGCTAGCAGGTAAGCTTTTATGGCAGAAGAAACTCTCTATGTCTCTTGTGCCTAAAAAGCTTCTGCCTTACCTGCTAAAAATGTTCTTCTGATTGCATAATGAGCTGTGTCTGCATTCCCAACTGGCCAACCAAGATAAGCAAAGACCTTAAAACTGGAGGAAGGCCAGGCAAAGATGTCTTTGGTAGCAACGCAGCAAGGAGGTAGCCTGCGGGAATTGCATTGCTAAACAGGGGTGCTTAGGCAGGTAAGTTAGTCATAAAGTGCAAGTATGCTTTGCATAAGTACATACTATCACATGTGCCGACTCACCAAGATGTGGATTTCAGTTCCACTTTAATACCCAGCATGGCCACAGTAATTTATGTGTAGAAAATACTGTGGTCATGCTGGGTATTAAAGTGGAACTCAAATCCACATCGTGGTGAGTCGGCACATGTCATAATGTGCACTTATGCAAAGCATACTTGCAGTTAGACAAATAGGAGTCTATTTACATTGCTTTGCTTACCTGACTTTCTCTCTGGATAAATGCAGGCTAAAATGTATCAGAAAGTGAGGTAAGCAAAGCAATGTAAATAGACTCCTAAACTGCAAGGGGCTGTAGCATATATAAAATAAAGCTTTTATAGTTCTGCAGTTGGTAAGGAGTAAGTAGAAAATGCAATAAACTAGAGTAGCTTTGGATTTTTTTAAATGACCTTGTACTTTATCTCAAACGTTTTATAAGTTTAAGTCCTGATTTATTGGAGACAATACAGAATGCTTGTTATTACCTTGACTCCATGGAACTTCCGTCACGGAGCCACGCAAAGTCAGGCCCCAGTAAATCAGAGAGAAAGGGTACAAAGGCTTTTCTTGCTGGTAAAGGTAAAAGTTTCTTGTGGGATCTGCATTTATGGATTTTTAATAGGAGTTTAAGTTTAAAATGCAGTACAAGCTCTTTTGTAAGGTGACTGTACATGCAGGGTCAGATTTTCATCACTGCAGCCTGTAGGCCCACCACAATTAACACCCCTCTGCTATAATCGCAGCTTTTACACAAAACATTTACCCATTTTCCTGGTCCTGAGCTGACTTTAGAATATTTTAGTAAAGCATGAATAACTTTATATAACATGTCTATTCCTTCTGAAGAGGAATGAAAAAAAATTGTGTGGACAATAATTATACATGTAATAAAATGCCTCTTTGACTTCACCAAAAGACATGTCTACTATGCGCAAGTTAGCCCTCCTTCACACGGGTAACGGCCGGTCCGTACAAATCCGTGCTGGGTGCACGGCCGTATCGGGCAGCTCCCGGGAAGGACAGGTGCTGCATGTGATTATATGCAGCAGCCTGTCCTTCTCTATGGGAGTATGCAGCTGTACGCCGCCCTACACTTACCGGTCCTGCACGTCTGTGCGGGTGTCCATACTCATACACTGACAGAATGGATCCTGTCTGCGTCCAAGCAGGGACACCCGCACCTGTATGGACGTGCAGGTCGGGTGAGCGTAGGGTGGCATACAGCCACGTACTCCCATAGAGAAGGACAGGCTGATGCGTACAAATCACACGCAGAACCTGTCCTTCCTGGGAGCTGCCCGATATGGCTGTTACCCATGTGAATGAGGGCTAAATCTGGCCCTGCATGCACATGCATAATAGCTTGCCTGAGCCAACCTGGCTCTGTGATCTGCCTGTCACAGATCCAAGCACTCACAATGAGGCTGGTGAAATCTGACATCTGATCTGGACAGAACAACCGGAGTATTGGTAGACATATGTTACCCTTGACGAACAAGAATCCGTGAAAGCCTCTTTATTATATTATTGCTTTGTTTGCAATACTGCTGTAAGCACAGAAGTCAAGAAAATGTACATAAAGTGACAGCAGAACAAAAAGCATTTTTTTTTTCTGCAGACATATAGGCATAGCTTACTTAAATCCAGGGATATGCAGATTCAACAGAAGGTAGTCATTGTCGGATCCCCCTGCTCCACTGTGAACATGATCACCAGCAACTTCCCATCCTACAAAAAAAAATGTCAATATCAATTGCTGCATCGGATAATAAATATGGATTAGTGACAAGACTGCTGTTATTTTAGTAGAAACAAGGCTACATTACTGGAAATATACAGGGAGCAAGGAAGTCCAGGTGTTATTCGCTACTCAACTGTTTCTTGAAATGATCAAAACAGCAGTAATCACATAATGAGTATATTAAGTATTTATGCCAGGGCTGGAACACCAGGTAGCCAATGCTCCTTAAATATTACAACTGGTGCTAACTTTTAAGGTTTACTCTAGTTGTTGTCAATGGAGCTGGCTTCAAAAAATCCTGTTGGCTCCTAGATTGGAGAGACTGGCTCCTGAATTCCATGTTAATTGTTCCGCTCCTAATTTAAGGAACACAGAAAGGCTCTGTATCAAAAGCTAACTAAGTGTAGAGCTTATATGCAAAGAACTACATGGCCATTACAATAAAAACTCAAAAATTACTGTTTAAACACTTTTTTTTTTGTAGCAGTCACATGACTGCTATTGCCTCATTTTTCTTAAGTGCAACTATGTCTGGGGGCATATATTGTTGAGCTCCACCCAGTGTCTGGTGTATTTTTCTTTACATTCAGGAAAAAAAATGAATTGTATACAACATTATGTTGTGGGATTTTTTTGTTGTCTGGCCTACATGTTGCATGGAGTTGCATTGCAGATACTCAGATACTTACAGCTCTCCACTGCTCTCAAGGATGGAGTGAGCTCTGGAGGGAGGGAGCACTTGCACGTATCGGCCAGCACTGTTGGCACTTCCTAACATGGCAGTACATTCTAGGAAGCACCAAGGTAATCGTGTAGCATTGTAGTCTGAGGGGAAATGCTGCAGAGAGAGCATGACAACACTGCTGGAATTTTAGCAGCTGACTTGCAGCACTGTCAACCCTCTCCAGGTTATGAGGCAATTTACTGGTAAATAGGGTGAAAGGAGAAAGAGTTAATTTTTAAAGATCTGTTTAATTTTCTTGTTCCTGTTTTATGTCCATCTATCTGATTATCATCTGTCTGATTATCAATATATATATATATATAACTAATGGAAAGTGTTTTCCGCTTGCAAAGCTAATTCGATGATGTTGTTGTTTAAGAATGTATTTTACTGTAGACAAATCACGCCTCTTCTGCAAAGTCTCGAAACTGTATAAAAACTATGTATTTACTAAAAATAAACTGACTTCTGTATTCATGATACTTGGTGTCTGAATGCATTACTCCCGAAGCTTCGAGGCTAACAAAGGATACAGGCATAAGTATAGAATAGCTTACATAGGGTATGATTTACTGGATTGTTTTTTATGCAATTAAGAGGTACTGACTTATTCAGTAATAATTGTTGTCTAGAGTTCCACTTTAATCTTATCTGGTTATTATACAAATGTATACATATGCATATGCTAAACCTTCCATTTATGCTAATGCATGTGTTCTAACCACTTAGCAGAAGCAGGATACAGCTTTCCAAATATTATAGTAACAACAATTCTCCTGCAGAGGGAGACATTGTACCAAAAAAGCATGCGTATGTAACAGCAAAGAAAAAAAACACTGCACTCTCCAAATGTTTGTTATTAGTTTGACTTAAAGCTCTGTAAAATGATTGGCCAAATGTCACGCAAATCATTTGAAAAATAATACACCATTGAAAATAGATGTAACAGTTGCTAGATATTAGCAATGGCTTACCATTCATTCCATCACACTTGGAATTTCCAACATTAAAGCAAGATGTCTTCATATTGGCCGGAAGGATGTTCCACCACTTGTACTCAAAGCCCAGGACTGGCTCTGTGCCAGCAGCACACTTCTTACACTCTGCAGGTAAAAAAGATATTAAACATATTCTAACACTTTCTGCTTTTCTCATTGCAAATTACGAGAAACGTGGATCGACATAATTGCAATATGTCTACTAGAAGATTTTAGGTTTGCTCATAAGCATCAAATGCATCAGAACTTACACTATAGGCATTCATAAACAATTTGGTCATTTCTTCAGTAACTGCTAATAACACTAAAAACATTTGTGTTTTTATATGGTATTCCAGAAATTACAAAAGATAGGGGAGGGCTGTTCATCACCCCGGATGTAGGCAAGAGCAGGATCCTTTCCCCAATCCACACTATGATGGCCTATATCTTTTTTTGCTAAATAGCTTTACTACTATAACATGTTTCACTTGCTTCAGCTCTACAAGGAATTATGACCAAGGAGCAGAGTAAATTAGAGAGTAAGGTACCCCTCTGTGCTCCCCCAAGGATCAAAAACAACTTTTCTTAGTGTTAAGCTGGCCATACACGTATAGATGTTCTGCAAATTTTCTGTGGTCAGATAGAAAAAGTCCAACACATTCCTCCATCTACGCTAAACTGTGTGGATGGAGGAATTTCCCACTGGGCTGAGCTTCAATATCTTGCTAGTCGGCCCCACTGGCTGTCAAAATACCTGAACAATCTGATTAGATGCAGGCATTGTTCCGGTGTTTTGAGAGCCAGCGGGGCTGAATAGCAAGATACTGAACCTTGGCCCAGTGGGAGATTCCTCCATACACACAGTTTAGCCTAGATGGAGGAATCTGTTGCACTTTTTCCATCTGACCATAGAAAACCTGCAGATAATCTATAGGTGTATGGTCAGCTTTAATATGAGCCCAAAGTCATTCAAAAGCTGCTAAAGCATCTGTAGCAGGCCACAGTAGAAACCTCCACCTGAATGCAAAGCAGTTTAATTTTACTGTTGAGTGGCACTGGAGCCCTAAATACTGAGTTGCTATGCTGTGCAATTTATTTATCAGCTCCCCCATGGATGAACCCTGATCCCACCCCTTTTATCTTCACTACTGGCACATCATCATGATTGGTGGTAGACAGACACAGCAGGAAGATATTGGGATTTGCTTGGCTACATATTAAATTGTGGACTGGGAAGTCGTTTCTAATAACCATCTTACCTTGTATTCCATCTGAATAGGTCCCAAATGGACAAGGGGCACAAGGTGATGTCCCATTAGAGTAAAATCCTGTATTACATGGTGGACAGTCCTCCTTTTTTCCTGAGGCCGGAAGCTGGATTGCATTAGGCAGTTCTTCTCTGCATATTTTTGGTTCTATCCATTTGTACATGATTTGGGTCTAACAAAAAGTGTCAACCAAACAATATAAATATTATTATTCACACTATTAGGGCTGTCTGTGATTTGTTTTAAAATGCACTAAATTACAAGTCAGTTTTAACAATATCATCAGCATCTAAAAAAACAATACATTTTTTAATTTTTTACTTTTGGTCCATGGTTTTGCATTCCAATTACATCTATTTTGGTTGTGCTGAAAACATGTAGAGCATGCAACGGAACATAACGAATTGCAGTGTTGTGAACTGGTCCCATTCACATCCAATTATTTTTCAGTGCCCTTGCATTAGCATTCGTTGCAAAACGGATCTCAACTAAACGGATCTGGTGTGAATGGGGCTTTATTTGTTATTTTGAAATTTGATACATACTTTATATTAAAGAATATCTCAGTTTTAAATATATGTCTTTCCATATTCAGTTTGTAAGTCGCTATGTCATCATACCTTTCCCTCACTGTCACAGGGTGTATGAATCTGAAATAAATCTTTGCTTGTACAAGGAGGACGATCTATGCACTTGCTGGACCCTTCATCTGAAACAGAAACATGTACAAAAATAGCTTTGAATATTAGGTTTATTAGATGTTTTCCTGGAGTGAGCTTAATGTAATGTAGTGTAAATATTACACTGATGAAAGTCTCAATTCTTGGTGGAATTTTGCAAGGTCCATTTTACCACCACTGCACTTCTCCAATGATTGTGACTGTACTGACACACTTCTCACTGATTGCCACTGCATCAACTTACCCACACAACTCTACACTGACCACCGCTGCATCCACATGCTTCTCCAGTGACAGCCACAACACTCACACACTTCTCCACTGATTACTACTGCAGCAGCACACTTCTCCATTGACCACCACTGCACCTGCACATTTCTCCGATAACTTTCACTGCACCTGCACTCTTCTCCACTGACAGCCACTGTGCCCATGCACTTTTTCACTGGCTGCCCCAGCACCCGTGCTCTTTTCCACCGGCTGCCACTATACCCGCACACTTCCCCACTGACAGCCACTGCACCCATGCACTTATTTAATGACTGCCACTATACACACACACTTCTCCATTGACCACCACTGTATCAAACCACTTATCCACTGCTTGACACTATACCCAACCACTTCTCCACTGACCACCACTGTACACCACATACCACAAACCTCTACATTATGTACACTGTATTGTACATTTATATCACTAGAATCTTAGGTAGAAATTCTGTATGTTATTCTGTTCTTATATGGATCCTTCAAAACTGATTTAAGTCCAAAAGAACAATGGAAAAACATCTACTTTATATTTTAGGTTAGATAAATATAAATTACTAGATGTGTACTATCTGTATGTACTGCAGTCTAGTAGGTAAACACCGACAGAATATCATTTTTCGACTTACTAAAATTGGTAAATATTTTTGGTACCAGGAGGCCTAATTATAGCCACCTTAGATTTATAAACCTTTATCATAATTTATCATATTGTCTGTGCTACTGGTAAGCATGAAACTGTTACCAAAACAGATTACCCAGATTTTTAAGTGCACACAGCAGCCAATACTGATCTTTTTGTCACTGGTCTTACTTCTCTAAACTGGTGAAAGTGGAAATCTGAAAGGTTGCTATGGGATAATGCATAAAACTGATCTCTTTGTTACCTTAATAAAAAAGCTAGGGTAACTATGTTCTGATTAAGAATAACACAAACATAAATAATCGGGTGTAACAGGTTTATAAAATCATTTTATGTAGAGTCAATTTTTCCAATAAATTCACAATTCACTTGCTGCTAAACCTGGAAAACGCAAACAGCCATCATCAGAAACATGCCCCTTTTAAACAATTTTAAAACAAAAGAAACAATTAATTTCTACATACTATACACCACTGACAGTTACTTCTATGCATTTTCATTTCTAACGTAGCAATATGACATTAAGAGTTTACCTGAATATTGTGTCTCTGGATTGCACTTAATGCATTCGTTAGCTTCTCTGTCAGAAAACGTGTTCCTGGGACACAACGTGCAGGAGGAGGATCCAGATTTATCACTGTATGTGCCAGGTTTACAAGGGAAGCATTCTGATGTGTAGGCAACACCTGCAGAGATTGATAGAGCTGGATTTAGCAACACCTCGGTTATAAGGATTGAGTAAACCAGCGATCCCATGGGACTACATCTCTTATGGTGTTTAACAGGTAGCTGCACATAAAGAAGACTGCTGCCACATGGGAGTTTGGCTTACCTCTCCACCTTGTTGTTGGTGCTCGGACCAAGCTTGTCTTATTGAAATGTCTATCCACAATAAATGGACCACACACAAACCCACTGAGAATCTTAATGCAAGTGTAAACTTCATAACAGTGGCATGATCAGAACCACCTTGCCTTAAGGCCTTAAGATGAAGCAACTGTTTTTCACAACTGCTTCATCATAAGGCCTTAAGGCTAAGCAGGTCTTGCAAATCACATCAAGATGCTTCTGACCATGCAGCTGTTGTGATTCCCTGTATCTGGATGTACGTGTGCAGTTCACTTATTATGGATAGAGACATTTCAGGTTGCTGTACATGTATAAATTGCATAAATACATGAGCACTGTATTGTACAAAACAGAATCAATAGTGCATCTTTTTTACTTTACACCTTAGACCAAAATGAGCACTTAATCCTTGCAGTCTGAGGGTAGCCCCACTGCAAGAGTTTCTTTTTTAACTGACCAGAGTTAGTCTTTAAGAAATGGTTTTAGATGTACCAAGAAAGCCCAAAAAGTCCTAGAACTTGAACATAAATCTTGTGTTAGTGTGTTTTAATATGCGTGTTACCTTCTATTGTAATGTTCTTTATCAACACAGGCTTCACCACTTTTGACCCCAGGAGAATGCCTGTAGTTCTCCAATACAGAATGTTAGGTCCAGATTTTAGAGGCACCTGTAATAAAAAAAATGCCATCAACAAAATTACTTGTTTCCCTCTGTAATTATGGGCAGTCAAGGATTGTGGCGAGATTTTCCTGTTCTCTAGATTCACTGCACAAGTATGCCCTCTGTCATATTTTGTCCATGCACAGAAAAGAGACCAATTCTTTTTTTCAGCAGATAAAAAAGTATGGTCACTAATCAATCTCTTCAAATATTAGTAAATGCTTGTTAATGCCCAATAATTAACCCTACTTTGCTAGAAAGCTGGAAGTGATAGTTAGAGCAATAATTTCTCCAAAACTGCCAACTATCCCTTATTTCGAGGGATTGTCCCTCTTTTGGAACGAAATCTCTCAGTCCCACATTCCTCCTAAATGTCCTTCTTTTAGCTCTGGTGTAGAGATCTGTATAAATAAATGTATTAGGTGCCAACGTTGTTTATATTGCACTTAACTTTTCATCCATCCTTTAGATATAATGCTGTACATAATTCTATACTATATTATGAATACATAATTGCATAAAATATATAATATAAATATTAGAGGTGCACCGAAATGAAATTTTCAAAACCGAAATTTTTAAAAAATGTCAGGCCAAAACCGAAAATGTTTTTTTTTCTAACCTTTTCACATTTTTTTAGATATTTTATATTTTTTAAATTGTATTTTTATTTATTTATATTTAAAAAAATAATATTTTTTACTTGACTGTTGGGGGCTTCAGGGAAATATCAGGGGTCTAAACAGACAGCTGATATTTCTCTTTTAAAAAAGAAAAAGAGATTGAGAACAGAGTCCTCAATCTCTTTTTCTGCAGCCCCTGTTATAATTGAACAGGAATCCTCTATACTGAGTGTTCCTGTTCATTCATAACTTGTGGAGATAGTATGTTTACCATATCCACAATCATTTATAAACAGGAGGTGATGTAGATCACTTCCTATTTATTCATAATTTGGGACACAGTAAACATACTCATACTCAAATACTCACGGTGCCGGAGGAGAGCTCAGCCTCCTGTGACAGCTGACAGCCATCTCTGCCCACGCACCACCATTCTCCTCATCTCTCACAGGAGGCTGAGCGGTGTGGGAGGAGAGACGCTGACCACTCACAGCCCTCTCCTCCCTTGCACTCCGGTGACAGTTTGCAATCGTTTTGCCAAAAGTGCAATTTTCAGCCGCTATGTTTTGGATCCCCATTAAATATATAATATAAAGTAAAAAAGGTACAGTTGGTTTAAGTAACCCTGCTTGCGCTTTATGGCTGTCATAGTCAAATGTGATTGTGGGTAAGGTGTTCCCATTCCAGTCTGTTCATGAGCAGCCCTATTCACATTTAAAGCATTATTTGTTACTGAAAAATCCAATAAAGGTAGATCAAAGATACATCTTGTATTAGTGGTTCACATAAAAAAGGGTCACAAACAAGTTTAAAATGCTCACTTCTGTTCCTCCAGCACTCATTGGAGGGACTGACAGGACAGGGGTTGGCCACAGCTGGCTCTGACTTTAGAAAGGCAGAGCTGCCCCGGCTGCAGTGTGGCTCTGCACTGTCAGCATATAGTAGGCAACAGCCCACTATATGCTGAGTTTTGGGTCACAGGAGTACATTAGTAAATGTACCCCTGTGACACAAAAGGGAACTAAAGCCATAAAAAGGTATGGCTTTGGTTCTCTTGTAAGAATGACAAATTGAGATGTATGTGTTCAAAGCTGTGATGAAGTATCTGCATGAAAAAGAGAGCCAAAGGAAACTCATAAGAGAAACATAGGGGGGCAAGGCTAATCTCATAAAAATCCTATCTGACTGACTGTTATACTGACCCTCTAACTTTAATATTTGAAAGTCACTGATATAAAAGTGTCAGGAGATTAAACTTCACTGGTTCCATGCTTGTTTACTAGGCGTTAAAGAAAATGGCACTGGTGTATGAATGTAGTCAACGTGGTTGTGTGTAAAACCATGGCCCATATGAAATACTTGTTTGCTTTGCCTACAAAATTTAGCCACAGATCTAAATATACAGTCAATGCAGTAATGACAATCTCAGACGGAGTATGAGGCACATAAGCCAATGGAAAAAACCCATACCGAATGATGCATCCATTCACCATTATCAGACAGCTTCACCCACTTGTCAGATGAAGAACTTGTTTCCTGGCACTGGTCGTTCTGGATCTGTGAGGCACAAAACAAGCATAACTCAATAACAGGTGGGAGTTTCCTCAAGAATAAAGGAAAAGGGTAAAGGTATCCACAGACGTTACATGATCATCATCACATATCCTGTCAATATGTATCAGCACGATTGTGTATGAAACATACTGACTGCCGCAGCCACCCCATCATTTTCCTCAGCCTTTTCAAACCCAGCAAGAAAAGACTATAAATTTAGATTTTCCCAGCTAATAACTAATTTTCTCCCAATATAACACTGGTACTAAGGGGTTTCAATAAATGCATGTATGCTTACGTCTACACACACCTTTCAATACGCTTACAGGGAAAATAGATTGTTCGGGGCATTAGCTCTGCATGGAAGCCTGGCTTAAATTTGACTATATGGACAACTTTGGTGTAACTTACTAAAAAGATCATGGGGAGTGCAAACAATAACATAACCATTCTCATTTAATACACCAAATCATGGCAGTCATCACAGCAGACATCCCAACTCTACCGGATGCTTCGGGAGTGTCCCGCTATTGGATAACAGCTCCCAGCCAACCGGGAGAGAAACTAGCAGAGTAAACCTTTGCCTGCTGTCTGTTTTTTTTTATGGTTGTTTTAATTCTGAATATTGCACCCACCCACTACTACTGTCAATCAGCAGAGGTGGACCTGAAGTTCTCCATCAGGTCCTCCTCCTGCTGTTTGACAGTAGCAGAGGGCGGGTGCAACACCCAGCTTGCTATTGGCTATTGCAAATTGAAATAGCCAACATCAATCTAGCCATTCATTCTTAAGCTGCTTTCTGGGGGGTTCTCTTCCCCGACCCCTAGACCCCCCGCACGCGCGAAAGGGGGGGGGGTCAGAGGGCACCTCCCTGAAATGAGAAGGGCACCTCCCTGAAATTACTTTTTTCAGCTTGGGATCCCTGTCACATTCTCTAATTCTCTAACTGTCCTAGCAAATAGATGAGGCACTGTAGAATTCAAAACTTTAACTTTTTTTAAATCCTGTGCTAATTCTTACAATAGGAAAAAATGTTCATTGTATTATTTAATAAAGTTTTTCCCAATTGCATTGCCGGCGGAGAGCTTAGTTACAGGTCGTCAGGAATAAAAATAATATGAAATGCATTATATAAAACAAATCTTACAAAGAATTCAAAAAAGATATTGTTGTCAAGATACTGATAATCAAATGACACAGATCCAGCTTTCTTCAGATGAACAGCGTAGATGAGAGAAACAGTACAGTCATCCCGATTAGATTCTATGTAGTTTCCTTTAGGAATCCATGATGAGCTAAGAAGAGATGACAGTAGAAATAAAGCTCATATACCATTTATCATGAATGTAATGATTCTTTTTAACACTATATATATCACATACTGTATATTGTGCAGTTATTAGGAACATTCAATTACTACCTTGAGGGTCAGGCCCAGAATAAGGCAGAGGCAGTGTCTTGGGTAGCACTCTGCAAGGGACGCAGCTGGGGCGTCATGCTTCTGCATCACCTTGCTATCTCCTGCGCTGTGCAGGACTGAGATGTCAAACTCATGTGTACATAACCAAAGAAAAGCTTTTCTTACATTTTTTTAACCCTTAGTGAACCCCAATTATTTGCTATTAACTCTTTCATTCTCTTCTTCACTAGCATTTAGTGTTTTTTTTTTTGCTGATTTGTTTTATTGTTTGCACAAAAACTTTTTACATTTGCATTCCTTCATGTTTGTAGCTCCAAATTTAAAAAAAAAACGCTTTGTACCAGGAACATGATTCTAGTGCCTTTATAAAATGGACAGCTCGCAGACTAAAATTTGTAGCTAATCCTGATTGTTTTTTTTGCAGTTAATTTGTAATTGGGTAGTTAATTTTAGGTAACCCTAATTATTTTTATTAACTTCTTATTTCCTACCCTCAGCTTTTTTATCTGTCTCTTTTTATATAAACATTTTGGATTTGTGTTAGTTGTGGTAAACCTGAATTATAGTGCTGATGGGGCGCACTTTGGCATCCTTGCGTTGGGTGCCAGAGGACCATGTTCCGGAACTGTTGATGGTACATCAATCACTAAAATGAGTAAGATTCCACAAATCATCTAAAGGTGCTTACAGAAACTACACAGCTAATTCTTCAGTCAAGTAGCTATATGACTGTTCTTTACAAACAATCGTTTGTAAAAAAAAAAAAAGGGGGGAAAAGGGGAGCATTGCAGCTGATGGCCTGTGACAAAGTAATATCCATCACAGTCAATCAATTTTTGCCCCAGCCATCAGGCCTAACGTTCCCCAATGACTGAATGCACCTCTAGGCTACACGCAGGCACAATATAATTATTGACCAATAGTGATCCGATAGCGTGACACTAATCTACTAACTGACATATTAGTCTGGATGTCACAACACTTCTTAAAACTCAATCTATCAAAAACTGAGCTCATGATATTTCCTCCTGCCCGTGAACCTTCCCCCAACTTTTCCCTTGAGATTGGTAACACTGCTATCTATCCCTCCCCCATGCCAAGGTGCTAGGTGTCATCCTGGACTCAGACCTCAACTTTCTGCCCCACATTCAATCACTATCCAAATCCTGCCGCCTTCACCTTGGTAACATCTCCAAAATACGCCCCTTCCCCACCAATGAAACCACAAAGCTACTCATCCTCCACTTGTTATCTCTTGTTTTGACTATTGCAACTCCCTCCTCATTAGCCTACCTACCTCTACACAGGCTATCCCCCCCTTCAGTCTATCATGAATGCTGCTGCTAGACTCATCTACCTAACCCACCGTTCAGTGTCTGCAACCCCCCTCTGCCAATCCCTCCACTGGCTTCCAATCACCCAATGGATAAAATTCAAAATATTAGCAACCACTTACAAAGCCATCCACAACTCTGTCCCCCGTTATAACTCAAACCTTGTCTCAAAGTATCACCCTAACCGTCCCCTTCGCTCTTCCAAAGACCTCCTGCTTTCTAGCTCCCTCGTCAACTCCTCCCATGCTTGCCTCCAGGACTTCTCTAGAGTCTCTCCCATCCTCTGGAATTCCTTACCCCAACCTGTCCATCTATCCCCTACTCTGACTGCCTTCTGGCAATCCATAAAGACTCATCTCTTTAGGGAAGCCTATCCCGCCTCAAACTAACCACTGAATTATCACGTTCTCAAGCAATTCCTCCCCACTCAGCTACCTCCTCATCTATCACTTGCCCCCCCCCCTTTTATTTGGTAGGCCCCCATGGGCAGGACCCTCCTTACCATCTTGTCTTGCATCGTATTGTAATTGTACTGTCTTCCGTATAGTGTAAAGCGCTGCACAAACTGTTGGCGCTATATTAATCCTGTCTAATAATAATTCAAAACCATTGTGGACATGCTACATTTAAAAATGAGGATCTTCTGACTGCCATCTCATGTCTTTAGATAAAATTAAATAACTTCTGTCTGCTTTCAGGGCCTGAAAGGCCCATATGTGATCATCTGGTTTTAGCTTAGCAACAAATGGCTGGATCTAGTAGAAGATGAAATCTAAAGGTCACGGCTGCCTATTTTACTAAGCAATACAGCAGACAGTGAGTCACCGTTCAGAGAAACAAACAGCCGACTACATATTCCACAAGGATCAGTTAGAAATGAATAAGCAATGCAGTGTGAATACTGCAGGGTGTTCCACTTTTAGGAGCTAAGCACAGGAAACTGTGATAAAACTGCACAAAATGAGCCAGATAAACTACTGTCAGTGCACCAAACAATTTTGTGCACGGACACCTGCTTTTTTTGGATGCACTATAGAAGAGTTCAGTTTTGAAAATGAAAAAGAAAGATGCAACTAGTGCAGTAATTGTATTAAAAAGAAATTGCAGAAAAAGCTTGACAATCTGTGCCAGATAAATAATGTATTAGAAAATGAGTTTATTAATAATAGATGTGTTCAGCAGTGCGCCAAGAGGATGATGGTGCAAGACAGTTACACATTCTACTATGCGCTAATTAGACTATATATGCTCTGCTACATAATAGTATGACGTGCAATGCCCCAAAATAGGTTTATTTTAACTGCTGCAGTCAAAAGACATCCCAATGCTTTCCTATGGGCTTTCTTGTGCCTAATTCACACCATTGCAGTCCGTTCAGATGCTGTCACAAAAAGTACTGCTTGTCCTATTTTACCTTCATCTAACTGCACTAAACGCACCAAAATGCAGTGCAAACGCATGCAAACTCACTAAAACGCAACAGACTGCATCCGAATGTGGCATCATTCAGGGACATGCAGGGGGGGAAAAACGCATCACAAGCGCGTCAAAACGCATCAAAACAGATTTGCAATGCAACTGCGCAGACGCACGCAGTTGTGATGCAGTTTCTGGTGTGAACGAACCCTTAGTAAACCACCCTCAATGTTAAGTATTTTTGTGTAAATATTGAATGTAAAAATGTTGAATGCTGGTCAAAAGGGAATGCAATCACAACAAAACTTTTAAAACAATCCAGCTTCATCTCATTTTTGCCTAGCTACCCATTAGCTTTCAGTTTCTGAAAAATCTGCAATCAGACTGGTTATAGTTTTTCTACATAAGGAAGTCTTAATTTTTGCAATGCTTTAAAAAGAAAATGCACAAGGGAGGGACAAAGCAAAGTCCACTATGGTAACTATGTTTTCGACGTTATCTTCAAATGGCATTCCTTTAGACCAGAATTTCAAGTCCTTCCTGCAGAACTAGCAGTGGTATGTCTGTCCTGTACAACTTTTACACATATTCAGCTTCTTAAGAATACGACTTAGGGCGAGAGCATTGTTTTCCCTGTGACTGCTCAAGAAATTCAGTTCACAGTACCGCATAACCTGAAGATGGATGATTGAGATCACTATAATATGAAGTTTCATTTGTCACTCCCATAATTTGAAATGTGCCTACAGATTCATCTTTTTTGGTGCCAGAACAAATCCTAAATGAGAACTCTAGTAGAAAAAATGACATAGATTTTGTGTATTTTTGCTAAGTATACAGTGATAGAAGATGCAGCACTCCACTACAGATGCATTCGCCAGCACAATACCAGCAGTGCCAATGCTGATGGTTTCATGAGTATAAATATCTGTTTGTGGAAAAGGTTAGGGCCATTTCTGATTGGGCTACAATGGCTAGATTGGCCTACAAAACTGAATTTAGTGTCATCAATAGTTTTCATTTACTATTGCCACACCAAAATGTCATATTATTTCTACCAAACATCCAAGGTTGGCTCTGGCTTCACTATCTAAAGAGTTATTGACCTGGCACATGCTATTGCTCTCCATACGTGTTTCACTGCCTTTCATTCCATGGTTAACCAAACAGGTTTTGTGTTTATTTTTCTGATACTCAGTGCCCAGGGGTAGTGTAAGTGAATTGGCCAATTATCCTTTTAAGAACGATTCTGCATCCTCAGGTTCTCGGACAACAGAAAATGTAAAGGCTACAGGAAACTATCTCCAGTGAAAATGCCTGTTTTAAACAAGTTTAACAGAATTATTACTGCCTCACTGATGTTTACATGCACCCCACTGTTGACTACTATACAGTAAGATGCATAGGTAATCTCACATGAATTCTAAATTATCATGGCCACAGACTTGAAATGACTCTTAGAGCTCTTTCACACGTGTGTTAAAATCAGGCATTAGAGAAGCATTTTGAAGCCTCTCTGCCACCAATTAATGCTCATGTGGGATAATGCAATAGCAACCAACCAGTGCAGTTCACACATGGGCGTTGTGTTGTGTTGCTTAAGCTGGCAATGCACGATAGGTTTTTTTTTAGCTGCAGAGCTATACAAGTAAAAATGCTCATATTCCCCCTACCCATCAGCTGAATGGCTGCAGTTACTGTTCGGCTAAGAATTTTCAGTCCGGCTCCTCCGAAAAAAGTCATTTGAAAAAATTTACTTTTGTCAAATAAAGGGGTGCCGATGGGGCTACACACTGCTCAAACTTCACCCATGTCAGCAAGATTTAGCTGAAATTCGAGCAGTGTGTGGCCAACTTTATGCATTTTCTCCAATCTGAGTTGGATTAGGCAATAACCTCATGATTATAGGAACCTGCAGACAAATATGAATCACCCAGGTAAAAAGCCTTGTGAAATTAGCAGTGTCTGAATATACCTTCATACTCTATACCATAGACATAAAAGTTTGGAGATTCAAGTGTTTGTGCTCATTTCTTAAAGCGTTTGTTAACACCAGCAGCCACGCTCAACCGCCCATATAGTGCCAATGCGCTCGATCGAGCCGCAACACATTGTTTCTTTTTTTATTATAACTTTATTGAAGTGTCACAGGAGACATTTAATTAGGTTCTATGGGCTTACCGCAGAGTGATGCGGTTGAACCGTGTCTCACTACGGTGCACTTAAAAAAAGTACTGCAAATTGCCTTGTCTTACGTTCGGGCTGCACTGGCCAACCAAAACTTGTGCGGTTAATCATAAGCGAACGCAGATGGTGTGAACGAGCCGTAAAGATGGACTGAAAGACCTTTTATGATGGTTTGATTATGCCTGCATGTCTACGGCCAGTTTTAGGCCCGATTACAAAAATATGTCTATACAGTAATGAGGTAAATTCATCAAATTGCTTTCATTTATAAATAAATTCACTAAACATATAAGCTAATTCTTCAGTGCAATAACAACCAGAATCAGAATTAATTCTGCTGATGTTAAACTGGTACCAGATATAGCTTCTGGCTGGGTGCTCTAGGATGCTACTATTGAGAATGATCAGTTAAAATTAGAACTCTGTAAATAAAGCCATTAGTAAAACTTTTTAAATGTTTAACTAATTATACATTTAAAATTGTCACATGCTGCATTTAAATCTTCTGATCAGATAAAAAAAATCACCAGCATCTAGTGATCACAGAACAAACCTAAATTAAATAATCTATTATTCTGCAATAAATGTACATAAAAGGTTCATGAGATGGTACTGGATCGAGTGATCACTGAGCCTGGAATGCAGAGTGAGAATTCCCTAGGAAGTGACTGAACATTACTTGGTAACTTGGGGAACGATGCACACAGCATGTCTCCAAGTAACCAGTTACCAAATCCTTTTTTAGCATTCTTATGTAAATTCTATTTAAAGCACATGTTTCATTTGTTGCCATGGGTGACTATACATTTTTTTATTTGTTAGTAAATAAAGCCCCACTATGCATTTGTTTACATGTGTTTTACTACTTGTAGCTTGTCAGTTGAAAATATTTAGCAGTTGCACTATGTCTAAGTGCCCATAGATAACAGATAGACTATTGCACGCATGATTATGTCATTGTGTAATCTTTTTGACATGAAATAAGATCTTATGTTAACTTTAACATACAACGAAACAAAAATAAATTGTAATCACAAATAAAGTATAATGAACATATACCCCTAAGGCTCCATTCACATATAGCGTTTGCACTTCCTGCACGGTTTTCTGTTTGGAAGACCGCACCGCACTAAAAAGCTAAAATCTTTACATCTGCACAGAGTCCGCTCGTTCGTGGCTATTTCTATAGCTGCGAACGTGCGGAATCCGCCCTTGAAAGCACGTTCTGACTTTTTTTTTACGGGACGCACGGTTTTGTACCATGCGGTCCCCGCAATAGTCTGAACAATGCACATTAAAATGCATTGTTTTTTTATGTTTAGACCTGTTCCGCGTGCAACCGCTCCTGTGTGAATGGAAGCTTATACATGATATAGCAATAACGTTATACCGGAACCTAGGGATGTCCCGATACCGATGCTAGCATCGGAATCGGGCCCGATACAGGGCATTTTGACAAGTACTTGTACTTGTCAAAATGCCCCGAAGCCTAGCGCCGAAGCTTGCGCTATGTTTTTTTTTTTT